CATTGCTCCTCTGTCTTTCCAACACCTCTTCATTCATCCTAGTGGCTTTGGGAGCTGTGGTGTGTCACATAGGAGACCCTTTTGTTCAGTCAGCCCCATTCATAAAACGGTCATTGCAATGAGCCACAGGCCGTGTTTCAGGCCTCTGGGGCACCCTCATCACTGGTGCATAACCACAGCCCTCTTAGATATCCCCCGGAGCCCCAGTCACAGGGATCTTGCGTCATCATTCCACAGGACCAGTCCCTTCATGCACTCCAGTGTCATAGATGGGGTAGATGTTAGGGTTGACCAACATAAGGCCCAGGATGCGGGTCTGGGTGGTAGCTGAGCTGGCTGGTCCAGGCCACTGAGACTACACACTCAGGCAAGGGGCAGGGCCAGCTGCTATCCAATGAGGGGCAGGGCTGGCTCAGCATGGCCTGCTCTCGGATTTCAACATGTGTGGTTCCTAAGACCCCCTGTAGTAGCACAGATCATGGATATCATCACAGATCCCAGCTGCAGCAGGATCATGGACTCAGATAAGGCCCTCAGCAGTAGCTGGTACTTGGACATCACCATGGTCTTGGTGGCATAGGCCACCCAGGTCAGTATGGCCTTGGTGGCAGCAACATACTGCCTGGGGACACCAACATGGTCTCAGGTAACTGTCCAGACCTTGGGTATCTACACAGTCCTTGGTAGTAACTGAGCCACAGACATCAGTTTAGCCCATGGCTGATGCTGGACCATGACACACGTTTTGAAGTTTTCCCCATGGTGATGGACAATGGCTGGCTACTGATGGTGAGTCTGTTTGGAAGGCAGCTCAGAAGAAGATCAGGATAAGATGGAGATGACCAAGACTCCATCCTTTGCTTTGAGTTTCAGTCTGTGAAGTTGTCTTCAGCATTTGTGTTGGGCAGTTGTGAGGTGAAGTGATGAATGGGCCGAGTTCAACTATAATTTGTAAGGGAGAGATCTTACACACCTGTAGCACTGACCATGCCCGTTTGGTACATGGGAGAAGGCAGGGGTATAAAGACCTAGGAGGATGGGGACACTCTTCTCTTGGGGTTCTGGTGGGGTCGCGGAGACGAGCGGACTGCTGACCTCAGGTTCTCGGCTTCTCATGTGACTTCTCCATAATAAAGTATCATACGAAATCCCTTCCTGTATCCCTCGTGCAGCTTAATATTTCCATGATAATAGTTCCCAGGACAGAGGGTGCTGTGACCAGATGGCGCTGTGTGTTGATGCCCAAGTTACCAGCTCCACCAGGCTTAATTTTACATTTCCCAGAAATTGTATTTTTGGCTGTTTAGATAATTATTCTTCAAGTTCTAAGACTGTCATGTTACTCTGACATTAATATTAAGAGTTAAAACAACACTGACAGCCAACCAGCGCACTGAAACTTATGTTGGTCCAGTCTGTGCCTTCCGATTTGGGTTGTCTCTCGTTTCTTTTTGGCAGAATGGGATAAATGTCAGATGCCGATGCCCGCAAATGATTCAGTAACAAAAGAGTCAGAGACAAGTCGCCCCTCCTGCTCTTCTTACAATGAAGAGACGAGAAATGGTTTTAGGCACATTTTTCATTTTCCCAAAGAGGCCCCTCCTGTCTCCAGAGCCGCCCCGGAATCTTCTCAGAGCCCCTCAGCCCCCAGGTGCAGAGCTGGTTGACTGTCTGTGTCTTCCTCCTTATTGAGAGGTACAGACCCAGGAACGGCTGCTGATGAATTAATTACCCTTTGTCAACAGTGTTCTGAGGTTGAGGCTGCTCTATGCTGCAGCCCACCTCCCTTGGCACAGTGCCCATGCCTGCTTCAGCCAAAGGCTCTGTGAAATGACCACCACACAACTCACTGGCCCTTTTCCTCTGTGTCTCAGGTGTCTGATCATCATCTCTGTAAGAGTTACGCCCCCTCTTCCCAGGTTTTGGTATGTCACTACAGATGAAGGGAAAATTATTCTGATTAGCAGAGAATGGAATGCCCATCCGGCATATCAGGGTGTCCTGAAGGAAGAATAACGGCTGTGGTGTTAGGGCTAGGGGGCAGTATAAGTTATGCACAAGAATTGCAGGTCTCTAACTCCTTGGTTAAAGCATGTCTTTCCTGACTTGCCTAGGGTGAAGGCTGGGCATGAGTCACAGACCACAGGACAGCTCCAGCCCCAATCCAGTTTTCAAGGTGGGGTCTGTTTGCATGGATCAAAATTAGGGCACAGAGAGACTTTCCCTCAAACTGGCCAGACATGTGGGCTGAGGGAGAGAGGAAGACAGAGAGGGGAGGAAGCGGGGGGGGGTTGGTAGGGGTAGGGAGTGGGATGGGTGGGGGAGTGGAGAGGAGAGCAATAGTGAGGGGGAAGGAGAGAGCACATGTGCAGGCGAGAGCTGTAAAACGCTGACCTCACTCACGCTGGGCAGAACCTCCCAGTCCCTGAGACCGTGGCGGTTTCACAGGTTTTCGCCTATCCTGGGCTTTGAACATGAGGATGAAAGTGGTTCTACGGTAGGTTACCAGCTCGCCAGACGCTTTCACCTCTCATTCCTCTTATATTGGCACCAAATCGTGTAAAGGGAAGCTTTTTCCTTGAGAGAAGCCTTCCCGCCAGCCTGGTTCTAGAGCCGCATGAGTCCCAAATAAACACACAGGAGGCTATATTAATTATGAAGCTGTTTGTCTTTCGTGTTTCTTACTGGCTAGCTCTGACTTAAGTATTTACCCCATAATTGTTAATCTAAGTATTTCTCTTACCGCAGAACTTTCCGGGCTTCCTACCCCATGGACTTACATCTTGACTCTGTGTTTCTCCTTCCCAGAGTTCTCCTGGACTCCTAGTCCCACCTATCTTGGTTCCAACAGTGCTTTATTAACATATACATAGACATCCTTGGGATGTCTAAGGTGTACCCCGGACATATAGGAACCAGGCAACACATTTAAAATGGAATTTTCCCTCCTGGGACAGGCTGAGACTCTATAATGTCCAGGCAGGAGGTCTCAGCCTGGGACTGACTGAGCTCTGGTCTGGTCTGTGGGAAAAAAAAAACAAACGAAAAAACCCTGCAGATAGTCCCTGGCATTCTGCTGTCTGTAAACCATGTAATGCCTTTAACCAGCATGACTAGAACGCAGCCTGCTGGCCTCTTCACTTTCCCCACACAATACACTGATGCCACAGGGAGAAGCTGGGCAGACAGGATCGGCGTAGTCAGCCAGCGGCAACCACTGTGGGAAACAGACAGTGGTGACATGGTGTCCAAAGAACGTTGCAGGCTGACGCATCACCTCAGGGGCTGAAGGACAGTGGTTACGATTGGTGAAGCGATGAGGAGGAATACATCACAAGGACAAGCGGCCACCAGGAAGTGCAACCACCATGGTTTCAAATGTCGGTAACACCGCGTCACAGTAAGGAACACGGGGCGTTTTCTTTTTGAGCTGTTGTGTCCCGACGTCTCACTTAGGAAGACTGAGCCCCGGAGAAACTACTGATGTCGGGGTCTGAAGGAAGACTGAGCCCAGGAGAAACTACTGATGTCGGGGTCTGAGGGAGGGTCTCTCGAGGTCGTAAGGTCACCCTGCATCTAGTGTGGGTTATTTGTACGAATAAGGACCGATGCCCACAGCTTGGTTCACAGAAGGACTTACCGCGAGTACTTCAGTAGGAGCACCTATTCCAGTGTACAAGACTGCCTGTGGAGTACCACAGCTGCTGCGGTTATGAGTTAACCATAGCCAGTGTTAGCGGTATTTGATGGTTATTAGTTAACCACAGCCAGCGTTAGCGGTACTTGGTTGTTTTGAGTTAATAATCTGCATAGTGGTATTTGGTTGGTTATGAGTTAACCATAACCATCACTAGTGGTATTTGGTTGGTTATGAGTTAACCATAACCATCACTAGCGGTATTTGGTCTAATCTACAGATCTAGTGCAGTGTCAATGCTTGACTCCAGAGGGTGATGTGTAACCAGACCCTGTTCTGCTGGGCTGTTTTGTTTGCTGTCCTAGTCTCCCAAGTGTGTCCCATGGGTCAGCAGGTTGATGACAGCTATACTATCAGACAGGAAAAGTCCCCTGGGATTCCCAGCACTCTCTAGCTTGTGACAAGTTCTTTCTGCAGGGCTCTGTGACATGTCCACCTCAGCCCTGTTACCAACACGGGAGTCACAGCCTGGTGCCCCAAGTCAGGCCCGCGACCCACACTCAATAGCCAGTAACAAATTAACAGTGGGGAGCCAAGGATGGAGGGCTGTTCCATGTGACCACACCAGGAAGAGGGACAAAGAAATACAGTGACATCCCTCAGAGTCCTTCAGGGCCGTGAAGTGAGACCAAAGTGTAAACAGAGGGCCAGGCGTGTGTGTGTGTGTGTGTGTGTGTGTGTGTGTGTGTGTGTGTGTGTATGTGTGTGTGAGAGCAGCCCTGGTCAGGGAGTGTCTGAGCTTCCATCTCACCAGAAAGGGGTCTCAAAAGTTGTCAGAACTGTGTGAAATCTCTCTCCCAGAGATAAGACTCCCCCTGGCTGATGCCTTTCCCTTCTCCCCAGTGAGATTCCTGGGAGACTCTCATTTTTCTGGGGTTCATTGTTTCAACAGTCAGATGGTCAGATGGAGAGACAAGACTCTCTTCAGGGTATCTGAATCTCTGCCAGGTGTCCTTCAGAAGAAGAGGTGATGACTGGGAGGGCTGGAGAGAGACTGGACAGCCCAGCAACCGGAGAAACCCCTGGTACACATGAGGGGAGTGAAGGGGACAGCAGCTGTGGGGAACAGAAGACTGTCAGGTCTGACACATAGGCCAGGGCACTCACAGACTGGTGTCAGGACACCGTGTTTCTGTTCTTACGTTGAGGGATGGTCTATAGCCAGAAAACGAGCACCGACACATCACTGGCTGTAGATGTGAACTTTGGAAAGACAGACCGTGCCTTGTCCTTGGCAAAGCAGAAAACTGCCTGGTCTAGATGCTTTTCTGTTGCTGTGATAAGAAACCACGGCCAAGGCAGCTTACAAAAGAAGTGTGTTTATTTGGGCTTACAGTTCCACAGGGTTAGAGTCCATGACCGTCATGGTGGGGAGCATGGCGGCAGGCAGGCAAGTGTGGCGCTGGAGCAGCAGTTGAGAGCCCACATCTTGAGACACAACCATGAGGCAGGAAGAGCTAACTGGGTCTGGTATGGGTTTTTCGCAACTTCAAAAGCTAGTGACACAACACCTACAACAGGGTCACAGCTCCTAATCCTTCCCAAATAGCTCCACCAACTCTAGATCAAGATTCAAACACTGGAGCCTACGGGGGCCATTATCCTTGACACCATCACAATGTCTTTCAATGTCATTAAAAATGTCCCAGTACGGAGCCCCACAGGCTCTTAAGCTTCCGGTATGCAACTAATGACACGTTGCTCACACAGAATGGATCATGTTGGTTTACATGTAGAGTTCTGACTCTAGATTTCAGTGACATATTACTTACCTACCAACAAAGATAAAATGAATATCTGGGGCAAATTACTTCTCATTCCCAGAAAGTATATCATGTAATAAGAAGACAAAACCTGACATATCTGAAAGCAACAGAAATGTGTGTGGGAAAATTAGAGAAGACAGGTAAGTTGCTAGGCATTGGTGGGCACAACTTTAATCTCACTGCTCAGGAGGCAGAGGCAGGTGGATCTTTGTGAGTTGGAGGCCAGCCTGGTCTACACAGCAAGTTACAGGACAGTCAGAGCTCTGTTGCTGGGTTCTGTTTTTCAAAAAAACAAAGAGAGGGAAAAAAGAAAAATCCATTTTCTGAGTATTCCAAATACCTTATTACATCAGGAGACTGAGGCAGGAAGATTGACATAAGTTTAAGGCCAGCTTCAGTCATAAAGTGAGAACCTCAATTTTCTTTTTACAATAATTTGAAATATCATTTTTCTATGGGGAAAGCAAGTTTACAATAGTTACTTACTTTCATTGATTGAATTATTTTCTGCTTTCTTATGACTTTGATTTCTTTTTCTTGGTCCCTAAAAACAAAAAAGGGCAGGAGTTCAGGTCGATGTTCCAAGTGTCCACTTTTCACAGAAAAGCCAATCTTAGCATGAGCTAACAGTATTGGGGTTTCCTTTAATTTGAAGAGATCTGTGGTTTGAAGTCAGTGTTTAATAGAGACCTAGTAACTACTTGAGAAAAGTAGTTTTCAATCACTGTGAAGTCCAAGTTATCAGTGAGCAATGAAAAGGAGACATAGTCAAAATATAATAAAAACAGAAGACTGTAACTGCGGAGCAGGAGTGTGTACAAGCCATTTACTTCCGGTGCAGCAGACTGACTGATGAGCTTATGTGCTCTGCACCGAGTTGCATCTCCAGGCCTCTATTTACTTTTATAACTTCTTGGAGACGGCACCAAGTTGAAGAGGTCACCACCATTTATCTGCACCTTTGTCAAGGGTGGGTGACGTGTGCTCTTCATGCTCAGGCACCTGTGGGCATGGTTCCTGCCCTCACTAATGCTTAAGGCTCTGGTATAAAATAGCAGACTCTGTGCTGGGCCCACACCTTCCCTCTATAGCCCACACTTTTAACCACGTCTGCAGCGCGTTTAAAATCCATATACGGTGTGAATGCCCTGCGTGGCACCGCTGTTGTGCTGTTTCTTTAAGGCACAGTGACAATGCACATGGTTAGTGTTTTCTTTCCAAGTACTTTATTCTGTGGTTGGTCAAGTTTGGTGTCGGATAAATCTGTGGGTGAACCCTCCTGAATCCAGGCGAGGCGACTGTGCCTCGGTGGAACTGAAGGCCCTGCTGTGTAAACATAAATATTCATGTATGAACCGGAGTATCACACTGAAGAGTGGTGACACCAAGCACAGAGTACTTCTGTGCCAGAGATGAGACCACATAGCTGAAAAGTAAAAACTAAGAAAAAGTAAATATTCTAAGTGCAGGCTGGTGTGGTGATTCACGCTTCAATCTCACCACAGGGGCAGAGATGAAGCCACCACAGACCAGAGTTCAAGGTTATGCTGGCCACATAGTAATTCCAGGCCTGCCTGGGTCACAGAGTAAGACTTAGTCTCAAAAAACAAACAAACAAACAAAAACCCAACACCAAACAACCAGGCAGAACGTTCTGTGACAACAGGGAAGCTCCCCAGGCATACCCGACAATTCAGGATTACCAGGTGTTGCCAGTGTTTGATTACAAAGAACAACCCCCAGGTCCTGGCTGTGAGGATGTGATAGGCGGAGCCCACCATGGCGCAGATGCATTGTCATCAGCAGTGATTTTCTCAGCCACAGACTGTAATCGGATGTTTCCTGTCTCAGTTGCCTTGTCCCAAATAACCAACTCAGAGACTTAATATGAATTGTAAATGCTCATCCAATAGCTCAGGCTTATTACTAATTAGCTCTTACATTTTAAGTTAACCCATATTCCTTATTTATGCTCTGCCACACGGCAGCACCTTTGTTAGCATGGCTCTGCATCTGCCAGAGGCTCCTGACTCTGCTCTTCTTCTTCCCAGAATTCTCTCTGTGTCAGGCTGTCTCACCCAATCTCTTCCTGCCCAGCTATTGGCCAGTCAGCTTTTTATTACCAATGAGAGCAATGCACGTTTAGTGTACAAAGATTGTCCCACAATAATGGACAGTTTCCTGAACCCAGTGAATGAGGATTCTATTTGGCACAGTCCGGTGTAAACTTCCTGGATATTCCTGGGACTGGGTTATAACTTCTGTTCTAAAGGGTTTGTCACATAGATCTAGAAGGAAGGGAGTCTTCACGGTCCATCTTCTGGGGTACTCTGTGGGCATGAAACAGGGCTGGAACATATTTCATGTATGCTCTTGCAGTCTGGCTAGCGTGAGGGTGAAGGCTTTGGACCCTGTAAGCCCCTATCTCGAGATACAAAGGGTTGCAGCTTCACAGACACTTACAGGAAACCCCATCATTCTGCTTCAGTCTTGGAGGGTGATGGCAATTTCTTGGGTAATTGAGGCTGAAATGTTTAGCCCCTTCTAAATTTAGTTGGAATGCTCTGAATTCCTGAAATTGTGTTTTTAATTGTGTAATGAAATGGATCATTGATGACATGATTCTGCATAAGTGGGGTTACAGTCTCTCCTCACTAAAGAGCGATTTATAGCACTGTACTGTGCTGAAATTTAGAGGTGAAAGATACAGTTATGTTATTGGGATTATGAAAGAATGCCTGTTTGACTATTAAAGAAACACACAGAAGGAGGGGCACACCATGCTCCCCTCACTCTTAGGTCTTTTGTTTAAAAACAAAGTCACTACAAGATCACAGTCCGAATTCTGTAAACCAGCAGGATGCTGCCATCGTCACACACGGGGGTAGCATACGCTTCTTGGCTTAAGCATTCTTAGTTTGACAAGGGACTTGAGCAGTCACGGGGTATTCTGCATGTCTTCTCAAGTCATTTCCTAACCCTTCTGACAGGAATCAGCCTTTCCATTCCATGGGAAATGCCTGCTTTTCTGTGTGTTGAAGCTTCCTGTATAAAGATTCATGCATTTTTGTCATACTGGGTCTGTCTTCACCTCCCTGGGAACCAGGGCTACCATTGTGTGCCGCCATGCTTGGCTTCACATGGGTGCCAGGGATCCGAATTCAGGTCCTCGTGTTTACACGGCAAGCACTTCACTCTCTAAGCTGTCTCCCCAGACACACACACACACACACACACACACACACACAAGACTAATACTGCAAGCCATAGATATATGAATGGAGACATTCCAAATTCTTAATATAATAAGTTTAGACCATGTAAAAATAGCAAGCAACAATGAACAGATGCTAGCTTGAACACATGAGGGAAATTCACATCACACCTGCTTTGGGAGCAGTTTCTTATGGGAAATACCTTGATCCCAAGACAGATGCCGGATCTAATGACCTGTAGTGAGTAATGACCCAGAGTTCAGCTTAAGTAAAGTCCCCTAGGCGTGATCTTGGGGTATAGACCTTATGCTGATGAGACTTTAAACATCTTACTGTTGCATGAGGCTTTGGTTTTCTTTATTTCTAACAGTGGGCTTTTGTTGTGTGGCTCTGCAACCTTCAGGGATGACAAACCGTTATTACCACAATAACATTGATGCTGAAGACGGCAGCCGCTGTACAGCACACAATTAAAATGAATTCCAACTGCAGAATACAACAGGCATCATGGCTGATGGGTCAAACGCCTTAAGCACTGTGCAACACAGGGCCTGTTCAGCAACAAACTGTGGCAGTGATTGTCATGTTAATGTACCCAATACCTGACAGGAAGCAGTTTGAGGAAGAAGGTTTAGCTATGGCTGCTGTGTGAGGCGGCTGGTCATGGTCACAGTCATGGTCATGGTCATGGTCACGGTCATATTCACAGTCAGCAGGTAGGGAGCACAGAGCACACAGGAAGCTCTCTTAAGACCCACACCGGTGATCTCACTTCTCCTGCTGGGGTCCAAGTGCTCAAAGACAGGAGTCTATGGGGACAGTTCAGTTCAAACCACAATAGCAGCACACTTGCTACCTGTCACTGACTGATGTCAGGACGAGTTCCCATTGTCAAGTCGCAGGAGGAGACTGAGAAAGTTGCCCACAGACTTATGCCATCACTGCCAAGAACACAGCACTTCTGGAAGTGGTTCTCAACCTTCCTGATGCCGCCGCACTTTAATACAGTGCCTCATGCTGTGGTGACTCCCCGCCCATAAAATGATTTCTTTGCTACTTCATAACCGTCATTTCGCTGTTATGAATTGCAAAGTAAACATCTGATATGCAGGATATCTGGTATGCAACCCCAAAGGGTTCTTGACGTACAAGTTAAGAACCACTATGCTAGAGGAACGTGGATGGGTTTGCTCAGCAAACTTTAGGCCCTCACAGTGTTCTACCAAGAATGCCTCAGCTGCTTGCTCCTGCTTCCGTTTTTCACTGCAAACTTGTTGTGAGAGAGCTGGCTCGGTGCTTAAGGGCACTTGTTGCTTTTGCTTAGGGCCTGCATTTGTATCTTAGCAACCATCTCCAGAGGCTCACAACTGCCACGGCACTGGTTAGCACATAAAGATTTCAGCATGATTTTCCCAAGAACAGCCAGGAAATATAGGCATCCATTTCATTCATATGTTGTGTGTGCATGTGTGCACATGTAGTGTGTGCCTGCGTGTGCGTACAGTTTGTATGCACATGTGCTTGTGTGTGTGCATGTGCACACACATATAGTATGTTTGTGTGAGTGTGTGTATGCATGTGTGCGTGTGTGTACATGTTTGTGTGTGCACATGCTTATATATGTGTGTGCAAGTGCTTGTGTGTATGTATGTGTGCACATGCCTTTATGTTTGTGCACGTATCTGTACATGCTTGTTTGTGTGCGCATGCTTGTGTGTATGTGTGCGTGTGTGTATGTGTGTGTGTGTGTGTGTGTGTGAGAGAGAGAGAGAGACTCCTGATGCCCACTGAGGTTAAAAGAGGATGTTAGATCACCTGGAACTAGTGTTACAGATGGTTGTGATCCTTCCATGTAGGTGTTGGGAACTGAACTGTGGTCCTGTATTTGACTGTCTTTTTTCACAGGGAGCCCACTGTCTAAAGCTAAATCTGGAGTGGCCACAGCTTTGTGTAGGTCACCTGTCTCAGGAGCAACAATCCAACCTAACAATGTCTAAGCAAGATCACCTGTGTCTCAGTCGACAGCTCTGAAGACTTGCCGATGCAAGCTGGCTCCTCCACCCTAGCACGCGGTTGTATCTAGGGCATTTCTGCCCACTCTATGACGCTATAGAGGAGTCATAGGCAAACTTGTAATCCAGAGATCTCAGGGAGATGTTGTGTCCAGGATATGTTTATATCCTGCTGTTCAGAATGTAGGTTGCTATGTGGTTCTGCTAGTTGTAGCGGAGGTGAAAACTAGTCTTACTCTCTGAAGCCTTGTGCCTGCATTTCTCTGGGTCTTGCACCGTAAAGGAACAGTGTTTTACAACACTGATTAGTCATCTGT